GAGAGAGAGAGAGAGAGAGAGAGAGAGAGAGAGAGAGAGAGAGAGAGAGAGAGAGAGAGAGAGAGAGAGAGAGAAAAGACTGTCATATTTAGAGAAAGGTTAATGTGTAGCACATTGGATATTTGGAGACAATAGCTGAGACCGTGTCCCTCTGCCGACAGGACTGTCTAGCCAAGCCCTAAGTATAGTCATAGTCTGAGGAATCGTCCTCCAAAGCCCCTTTAGAGTCTCTCTGATGAGGATCTACACTATTCTCTTCGAAACCCCCCACCGGGTGGCAATTCCTCCCCTTGGCTTTGCGTTCCTCCATCTTGATGGTGTCATAGAGTCCTTTGGGCTCCTCGTCTAGAAGGACGTTCCTCTCCGAGTGGGAGGGCTTCATCTGGCAAATGTTTTTGAGGGCCAGCAAGACCGGGGAGTAGAGGACGTTGGCGAGGCCCATGCCCAGGCTGAGCTGGGTGAAGCCGAAGGAGTGTACTATCTCTCCGGCCACGATGGGCCCCAGGGCATAGGCCACCGAGTAGGAGATGTCGGCAATGGCGTAGACGCTGCCGTAGACGGAGACATGGCGCACATCGACCAGGAAGGCCAGGGTGGGCAGAAGGGCTGTGTCCACCAGAGCGATGCCAAAGCAGATGCCGCACAAGGGGGCCATCAGCTGGCCAAAGTTCCGGCAAGCGGGCACCACGCAGGAGCTGGCCCCGATGACCACCATGCCCAGCGCCCCGTAGAACCACTGCAGGTGGGGATACTTGTCCGCCAGCTTGACCGTGAGGAAGACGCCCAGGATGTGGGGGAAGAAGGCCGGCAGCCACGCCAGGCCCCTCTCCCACTCGTTGGCCTTCATGGTGGTCTTCATCCACGTGCCGATGGTGGGCTCCAGGAAGGCCAGCGGCACGTTGCAGGTGGTGAGCGCGCCGGCCACCACCGCGATGTAGGGGTCGGCCATCAGCCGGTGGATGGGCGTGCCCACCGGCATGTTCTCCCGGGCCTGGCGGGCGAAGGGCTTGAGCGCCACCAGCACCAGCAGCGCGTCCAGCAGCGACATGGAGGCCAGCACCAGGAAGGGCGCCGCCTTCTGGCGGCCTATGTGGTAGAGGATGCCGCCGAAGGGGGGCGCCACCAGGCTGCCGAAGGAGATGAAGGCCAGCGCCAGGCCCAGCGCCCGGTTGCGCTCCTGCTCCTCCGGGTACTTGTCGGCGATGAGGGCCACACCGGAGGTGTCGGCGAAGGCCGAGCCCAGCCCTTGCAGGCTGCGGGCCACGAAGAGCGTGCTGTAGTTCTCTGCGAAGGCGAAGATGAGCGTGGAGAGGAACATGACCAGCAGCCCGATGAGCAGCGGCAGCACATAGCCCACGCGGTCGATGAAGGTGCCGGTGAACGGGTTGACCAGCAGTTGCAGGATGGCCTTGGAGGCGAAGAGCACGCCGACCTTCAGGTCCTGGTTGTCGGGGAGCACGGGCGGCGGGGGCATCCCGGCGATCTTGCTGGCGTTGCCGGCCCAGCCCCCGCCCGCCTCGCCGCCGCTGCCGTTGACCGCCAGGCTCTGCCCGGCCGACGCGCCGCCCATGGCCGCCAGGTAGTTGGGGATGATGGGCACGATGACCATGTAGAGCATGTTGTCCAGCAGCAGCGCCACGCAGACGATGGCCAGCAGGAGGCGCCGCTGGCGGCGAGTTTCCTGCAGGGCGCTGCCCAGAGCCTTGGCCCGCTGCCCCACCGCCTCCGACAGCTTCTCCACCGCCCGGCGGGGACCCACCGAGTGGCCGGCCTCCTCCTGCATCCTTCCACCTGCGACTGCCGGGCCAGGGACGCTAGAGGGGCTGGGGTGCCGGGCGGGCGAGGCTGGAGGGCGGGCGCGGGGCTCCTGCAGCCTTCCTCTTCCTCCTCCTCCTCCTCCCCCCCCGCTTCAATCCCGTTTCCTGGCCCTCTCCGAGCGAGCTTCTTGGCCCCGCTTGCCCGGCCGTCCAGCCCGCGCTGCCCGCAGCTCTCTCTCCGCCTTTCTCGGAGTGCGGAGAAGGCGCGCGGTCTTGTCCCGCTAAGCCTCGGCTCGCTGCGCCTCTTCCCCTTCGCCGCGCTTGGGGCGCGTCCCCATTGCACTCGTGTCGGGCCGGGGACACTTTGCCGCCTCCCCGTTGCCTGCCTGCCTGCCTCCCCGGCTCTGGATGGATCTGTGGGGGGCGGCGCGGGGCGCCCTCTCCGTCTGGCCCCGCTCAGCTCCGGCGTGCGTGGCGGGTAAGCCTTTGGATCGCCTCCTGGGCCGCCCGGAGCTTGGCTCTCTCCGTGGGGCTCCGCTAGCCGTCGGGCGAGGCGGGCGAGGGCAGACGAAGGGGGCTGCTGCCCATCAATCGACCCGCCTCTCTTGCCTCCGTCGGGTCGGTTCAGAGGAGCGCGGCTGGCCGGGATCCTTCCGTTCGCAGCATCGCTCCGGCTGCTTCAGACGGAGCGGCCCGAGGCGCAGCCTGCGCGGCTGGGGAAAAGCTGCCTCTCGCTGCCTTCGGCGCCGGTGGAAAGTTGCGGGCTCTTCTTCTTTCCACCCCCCCCCCCGCCCCTCCCCACGCGGGCTGCCTCCCTCCTCCCCCCTCCGATGACGCAGACTGAAGCCCCCCCCCCCCCTCCCCAGCGGTCGCTGGCCCGGCTGCGCCTCACTCGGCTAATTTAACACATGGAGGAGTCGGAGCCAATGGCTGCCTCCAAGCAGCCCCCGGGGGCAGCGGGCGCGCGAGGCCGCACCTGGAGTCTGGAGCGGCTGGGCTGCACCTGCTGGCGGGACACGTCTGGACCCCGCAAAGCAGGGCGAGGTGTGAGCTGGGCACGGAAGTCCCTCGGCCCAAGTTCCCCGGCTTCCGTCCCGGGCGGTTGGCGGCCCCCACCCTGGCAGTGCAAGAGGCTTGCGAAGGTGCCCAAGAGAGGAAGGGCCAAGAGCGGGGCCCCCCGGGGTGGTGGTGGCCCTGGGAGCTTTTGGTGAGCCAAGTGAGGTGAGGTCATCAGTCTCAGTCTGGCACGGATGAGGTTGCCCACTTTGGGTCATGAGAGCACCAAGCTCCGAGACCCCCTCAGGACCCCTCAGTCCAGCCTGAGTCAGCAATATTCCCCTTCAAGCACCAGAGTCTCCCTCAGCTGCTGGCTGCCTAGAAGAGCTTTGCCTCCATCGGGTGAACTGGCACCTATAGAGTCCTAGGGCTGGCAGGGACCTTGGGGGCCTCCAACCCCCTTCGCAAGGCAGGAGCCTTGGACCATCCTGGCCCAAGAGTTATCCAGCCTTTTCTTGGAAACCCTCCAGGGATGGAGCACCCTCAACCCCCCCCCCCCCCCGGTTCCGTTGATCAATGGGCCTCCCTCTCGTTCCTTGTGTCCCTTCCTGCTACCCTTCCCATCGCTTGCCTGTCCCTGGCAGTCTCTGTTTGCAAGCCAAGGAGAGACAAGGCCTCCCTGACTTGAAGAGCCTCCGGGATGCCAGGATAAGAGAGGAGGCCTTGCTTTCAACCCGGAATGGCCCAAAGGGGACCACCGAGGGGGTTTCTGGGTTGGGGAAGAGGGAAGAGGGGGGAACTGCTGTGAGGTCAGGGCTGAAGAGAGAGGCTGGCTGACCTGGGACCAGGAGCCCCCTGGCTCAACAATCAGCTACCTGAAAGGAGGGGAGGGGCCCCAGTCTGGGTAGCTTTCGTGGGGGGAAACCAGCAGGGTGGGCTGGAGAGCAGCCTGCCTTCAGTGCCAGCACCTGCAGGAAGGGTTAAGTTGGTGGCTTCCCTGGAAGCCTCTGGCGTTCCCAGCTACCCCAAGCGAGCTCTTTGGGTGCCCTCCTTGGACGGATGCTCTGCCTGTGGGGATGGAGGCAGGGCTGGGCTGTACATGCTTCCCCCAAAACGGGCGGGATTCCCTGCGATTCTAGGTGGTTCCTTTGGGGGGGGGGAGGGTGACACATGGCAAAGGGTGTCATTGGTTGGCTCAGGAGAGTTGGCTGAACTTCATGGGTCATTGAGAAGCTTTCTGGGTGTTGGACATGGGTGTTGGACATGCTCCGTAGACATTCACAGTCTGCCCCACGAAAGGGGGAGGGGCTTCCCCTCATATCAATACTCTGGGAAGCTGGCCCAGGAAATGGGGGGGTTCCCTCCCTGGAGGCTTTTAAGAAGGCCCTGGAGGACCACCCCTTGCCTGGCCTGGTTGAGGGCCTCCTGCTCCAAGGCCTCTCCAAGCTCCCAGCACGGGGTTGAGGGGGAATTGGGGGGGGGGGGTCATTCTGCTATTCTGTGATCCTCAGGGGACCCAGAGCAGGCTGGGCAGAGGCTCCCTCTGTCTGGAGGATGGGCTCCAGCACGTGTCCGAAAGCCCGGAAGAGGAAACCTCCGGTCCCCGTGACCGACCCAGATCAGACCCATATCGAGGTCATCCTGGGTCACATAGATCCGCCTTCATTCGGAGCGTGACTCTTCCCTGTTCTCACATTATTTCAACTTTCTGGTAGAAAATGTGCATTTCCTTGATGTTCTGAAGAGCCAGGCACAGACTAGTAGTTGTAAGGGGAGATTTACTCCAAGGTTCTCTTGCAATGACTCCGTTCAGGTGAAGTCATCGGGGGGGTTTATTCACACGGTCTTTGATCCAATCTTGGAGATTTCATTTCATTTTTTAAACCAGATGCGTATCGCAGAGGGCAACTTTGAGGACTGAGACTGAGGACATAACGCGCTACGGAATTTGCAGCTTGGATGAGGTTGAACTAGAGAATAGTCTGTCCTGGATTTGAACGTTACTTCTGAGAATATGAATATTGCATATCGAGAATTTCTAGTAAATCTGTTCTAGTAAATCTGTTAAACAGCAACGCAAACAGCAGATACAAATAGTTTTCTCCCAATTAAAGTACTGCCTTTTATTTTTTTTTAAATAGACGTTTAAGAGTGCTAGCAAGAAAAATAAAGTAGAAAGTAAGAAAAGCAAGTGAACACCACTTAATCTTACTTCTATTGCTTTTTATGATATTAACTATGTAGTAATGGTTCTTTTCAGGATAGGATTCCACCACCACCCCTTTTTTTTTTTTGCAATTCTGTGGGGGAAAAGTCTACCGAAGACCTTGGAAGTTATTTATTAGGAAGGCTGAGTAACATTTCGCTTTTATTCTCTTGTTGAATAAACCCAGCAAGATTTTCAAACTCTGCATAAGCTGTTAGATCATAGAGCTTCTGCTCTTTTCGTATTTCTTGAGTATGGGTATTACACACTGTGCAACAGTCATCTGGCTGTCTAATTTATCTTTAATTCCAAATAAAATCTACAATCTACAAAGCAAATCAACTAAAGAAGCCAGAAAATATTCAAGTAAGTTTTAGATTTGAAGGTTCATTTTCCAGTTTTTTAAAAAAGGGAAAAGCTAAGGCTGAGCAGATGTTTGAACGTTTTATTTCATGGTTTCGGTATTTTGCTAGTGAATAAATTAGAGTAAGAGTTCGTGATAGATCTATTAGAAAAGAAGTCTGAATGGGTTAATATTCAGGGGAATATCTTGACAAATATTGTTACAATTAGCTGTGCTTGGCTACAGCTATGCAGTATCTTGGCACAGAGTCCAGGCCATCTTAATTTGCTTGCACAGGCATTCTGAGGAGGCCAAAAGGGGGAAAAAATTAATTCAATTGGCCAGCAGATATTGTCTGCGGCTTTCAAGCAAAACATCTTAAGTAATTAAGGTCAAATTCTGTTTTTGCAGCAGGCCATTTGAGGGAATCAATGGCTGTAGATCAACTTTACCAAATGACACAACCAACCGATTCTTTTGCATGTAAGTCAGCTCAAGTGAAGCCCTTGCTTGAAAATCACTCATTTTATTTACAGGTTACAAGTTAAGGGACGGCGGAAATATTCCAAGATGCTATTGATATTATTTTCATGAATCTACAGTGTAGATGGCAGATTTTTTTGGGGAAAAAAAAAGGGGTGAATGGAAGAGAATCTCTGTAGCTCAGATTGAATTGTGGAGTCCTGGGTGCTCTCTGAGTTTGGTGGTTTTGACGCAGTCATTCCATGGCCTGAGGAAGTGGCCCTTTCAAGAAGCACCCACGTTCTCATCCAGGTGATGAAACATCTGCATGGAAACTCAGGAAGCCCCAAGGACTCTAAAGGCTCTCGAAGGCTTGAATGATTAAAGTTTGGGTTCTATCTTTGGAAAGTTTGCATTCAGTTACAACCCTGTATTGAACAAGGAATGAAATAAATAAATAAATATATGGACATTTAAAATTTAGTGTTTATCTTTAAGATGACCAGTGTGTGTGTGTGTGTGTGTGTGTGTGTGTGTGTGTATGTGTGTGTTTGTGTGTATCTCACTAAACATTTGGTTAATATCTGTTTTCTGTCTTGAAAATTGCATTCCTCCCTCCCGGTCCCCAAGTGTTTTATGGCTGTTTAAATTTGGTCTTCTATATCTGTCTATTGATCTATTTGTCTGTATGTGTGTGTGTGTATGTATGTATGTATGCATGTATATATGCATCTGTCTGTCCATCCATCCATCCATCCATCCATCCGTCCATCCATCCATCCATCAATATCTATAATCTACCCAACTTTCTGACTAGGAGGGAGGGAGAAGGTCAGGAAAGGTCAACCTTCAGAAGGAACTGCATATATTTCTTCTCTTTCTCTTTCTCTTTCTCTTCCCTTCTTCTCTTTCTGTAGACTTTTGTCACCTTTGTTAAGGGAATCGCAGCAGCTGCTATAAGCCCCACGCCTTTGTTAAGTGAGCCTGGTTTCTCCATGGATTTTCCTTGTCAGGAGGCC